AGATAAATAAATCTTTAAAAAAAAAAGATGTATACAGAACTAGGGTACAGGCCAGAGGTGCAGGGGCAGTGAGAGGCTTCACCACAGGCAGAGTGGGGAGCAGAACAGGCAGATCACTGAAATACACTGCTGAGGGGAGCAGCAGACTGGCTAGGAGAGGTCTGCCATGCCATGTGGATCACGTCATCAGGGGCTGGGGATCAAACCCGCAGTGAAGCAGCTGCGGTCAGCTTGCAGTGCTGCGTCCTAACCCTTGCGCCACCAGGAAGGGGCCCACAAATAAATCTTAAGAAAAAAAAAAAAACACTGCTGGATATTTATGCAAAGAAGTAAAAACACTAACTGGAAAGGATTGATGCAATCCCATGTCCACTGCAGTATTATTAACAATAGCCAAAATCTACAAACAATATTAAGTGTCCGACAGTTAATGAATAAAGAAAATGTGTATGTATGCACATACACACAAAAAATATTATTCAGCCATGAAAAAGGATAAAATCTTTGTTATTTGTGACAACACAGATGGACCTTGAGGGCTTTATGCTAAGTAAAGTAAGTCAAACTGAGAAGAATAATGCCATATGATCTTACTTATACATGGAGTCTAAAGGAAAAAAAAAAAGAATGGAAAACCAAGTTCATAGATAGATAAAGAGGACTGATGGCTGCCAGGCAAAGGAGGCACAAAGTGAGTCAAAAGTTATAGACTTCCAGTTATAAAGTCCCAGGGACATAATGTACAGCACGGAGACAGTAGTTAATAATACTGTATTATCTACTTGAAAGTTGCTAAGAGAGTAAGACTTAAAGGTTCTCATCAGGAGAAAACAAAATTCTGTGCCTATGCATGGTGACTGATGTTAACTAGACACATTGTGATCATTTCCCAGTATATACAAAATTTGAGTCATTATCTTTTGCACATGAAGTTAGTATGTTTTGTCAATTGTATCTTTAAAAGAAACAAAATAGCTCACAAACTTTAAAAATGAAATGTAGAGGGCCCTCCCTGGTGGCACAGCGGGTTAAAGCACAGCACTGAGAATCTAAAGCCACTTCCACATGAGTTCGATTCCCTGGAGGTGACCACATGGTGCAGCAGACCTCTCCTGGCACGCCAGCTGCTTCCCTCGGCAGTGTACTTCATCGATCTGCCTGTTCTGTTCCCCACTCTGTCTCTGGTGAAGCCTCTCACCACCCCTGAGCTTCTGGCCTGTACCCCAGTTCTGTATGCACAAATAAATAAATCTTAAAAATAAATAAATAAATAAAAATGAAATGTAGAAGAAGCTGGGAGAATTGAAAAGGCTTTACATTAGGTAAAAAATATTTCATCAGTTATTCCTAAAAGATTGGTAAAATCTTAAAATAACAAGAATAATTTGCAACTGAGTCACAAATAATTCAAAGTTTACTGAATCTAAAATCTAAAGACAACTTGACCTATTAACTAGAAAGAGAGAACAGTGTACTTGAATAATTTTAATTGATTTCAAAAGTAATGCAAACCACTAAATATTTTATTAAAAGAAAAATGAAAAAAATCTACAGCTTAAGATACATTAAAGGCCATGTCCCACCATAAAACCTACCCTAACCAACTGAATTTTCCTAAACAGGTCTGTTTAGTGCCTGTGGGGACCACAGCCACCTTCCAAGGAAAACTGCCACAGAGGGCACTCCCTGCAAAAGAAGCAAGTGAGGTTAGGAGAGATACTGCTGAAACAAGCACTAGTAAATCCCAAACCCAAGGTACCCACTTTACAGACCAATGAATTTTCTGCAAGTAGCTGGACATGAAAATTCTGCCCAACAGAATAACTGAACTCAAGTGAGCCCATCCAAATTCCCTTAAGGAATGTGAAAAGGAGGTGGGATTAGGAAGAGGCAGGTTAAGAGGTGGGATTAGGAAGAGGCAGGTTAGTTAGCAGCAGATTAGCAAAAAAGGAGAGAAACAAAACAGAGAGTAGCAAAAATTACATTAATGGTGGGTTGTTACTGTGGGGATCCATTATTTTTCCAGTTCTGGAGTAATCCGCAAATTCTTCCATTACCCAGAGCTACCTGAGAAAATGAAAATCTTCCTCCATTTCCAGAAATAACATAGTAACATCACATTATAAATGGACTTTAAGTGGCTTCACTATTACTTCATTTATTTAGTTCTTAAGAAGAACAGACAAGCTAGCAGTGGTATAAAAAACTAAGGGAAGAAAAAAAATGGGGAGCATTAATCTTGGGGAGTTTTTAATTTTCACAAATCTATTAATTCTTCCTATCTTTACAGAAGAAGAAAAAAAATTACAGTAGTTAAATAATACTCCACAAATGTATTTGACTTGTATGTGCCAGAGATAAGATTTGAACTTATTGATAGATCTGTTTAAAGTTATATACAAAAGCTACCCTTCCTCTCCACCCAAGGAGCAATCACTAACATGCCATGTATCCTCTTTACTCCTCAGCCAGGATACAGCAAATAATCCTTCTCAATCCAAGTCAATGGGGAGGCATGCACAGAGATGGTATTATATAAGGACCATCTATTATTCCTGGAATAGAGATTAACACCATAGTAAATTCTCTCTCTTTACTTTCCCTGGTTGGTAGCACATGTTCTGTTCAGTCAGATTTAAACTCTATCTCTGTTATTTATGAAGGCAAGAACCTGGCCCAGTTTTTCCACTACTCTGTCTTACACACAGAACAATGTCTGGTACATGGTAGTCACTAAAAAAATTTCTTCAGTCAGCGAATATACTCTCAAATTAATCCTATTCAATAACTGAGTGCCTAATAATATAAAATTCTTATATTGCTTGCTTTTTACCCTTAGGCCATTTACCTTTTTTTTTTAACGTAAAGCAGAAATAGCAAATGTATAACCTAATATTAAGGCATATTTTTAAGAAATATTAGATCTAAGGTAACCAGGAAATTGTTGCTCTGAAAATTACTGGTAAATCTAGTGGTCTATAATAGCTTAATTTAAAGTCCAGAATCAGTTTTACATGAGTACCCCTCAGATTTACTTACTGCAATTAAAATATTAACACAAAAGAAAATATACAAAATTACTGTTTTTGTTACATAAAGGTATCATAGTAACTCAATTGGACTTTGAACTGAATATTTTATTTTGAAATAGATATGAAATTTTAGGGGGGGGAAATGCGTATTTTATATTATAGTATCCAAATATCCACACTGTACTTAAACTCAGCAAAATCAGAAAAATGAATATTTAATCTAAAACTTCAATTATATTCTTTGTTTAAAAACAAAAGAATATTAGCCACTGTTAAGTATTTTGAACTGCACAAAATCACAGTTACTAGAATAATTATCTATGTACATATTTTGTTTTATAAAAAAATGTTTAAATATAAGTTTGGGCAATCACTGTTAGTTTAGTTAGCTCCTGATACCCACATGGGAATTAACAAACTGTGGATTGGCCCCAGTACCTGGAGACGCCTCTCGGTTGAAGTTTCCTCTCTCCACAGCTCAAGTCCAGGCCTCTCTGTCCCCCAGGCCACTGGCATTCCTGGGAGGCATCAAAGGGGGACAGAGAGCATCAGCTAGTATCACCCTGGTTCTGTTACCAACATTAAAATCTCTCACGTTGAAAGCACTGAGAGAGAGGTTGGCCAGGTGATAAAAAGTTTATATTAAAGTCTAAAAAATTATGAGGTAGCATAAATATTTCACATCAGTAGGAAAAATGTGCCTAGAAAAATATTAATATTACACAATGTTTTAAATGGGGCTTTTCTCTTCAAAGGTATTGTTGATCTGTCACTCACCCCTACATACTCTAGCATTCCCATGTCACTGTATAAAATAATCATGGTAGCAGAAGGGAGAAAATTAGAAATATCAGGTAACTTAGTATTGCTTGAAAAGAATTCATGTGTGTCATGAATACCAGTTAAGCATGAATGGGTACCTGCCTACTGCCATTTGACCCACTGTCTGTCACAATTGCATGAAACTACAAAATATTCCAGGACTGGCAGATACTGCATTTCCCCAGAACACCTGTCTAGACCTCTAACATAAACATTAAGCCATATACAAACATCAACATAATTCACCAATGAGAATTATGTCTTCAATGACTAGCCAATAATGTGCATTCCAGGCAGAAAATGAAAATTGTTTAAAATATCAAAAACAAGTCTATATTTTTCAACTGGCTATATCTCAAATTTTATCTCAAATATTTTTTTTTAGTTGGATGAGAAATATTTGACATATTAGTGCATTATCTCTTTTAAAAGACTTTTTAACATGAAAAATAACCAGTGATACCCCAGTAACAATAAGCACATCTAAACTCCAAATGCTGTTAAATACTGTTCTGGAATAAAAAGAGTCAGGGCTGATTTATGATCAGAGGTGGCTGATCATAGAGCAAGCCAGTGATATCAGAAAGAAATTGTTCAATAAAAAGAGATAAGGACATGTCTAAAGGACACAGGAGCCAACCTAGGGAAAGAACTGGTGTCCAAATCTGGAATAGTTTGAGCCAAAAAAATAAATAGTAATAGATTGTAACACAAATAGTAAATATCCCTGAGTCCACACTGATGATAGACGAATAAAAGACAACTCTTCCTTACAAAAGGATTCCAATTAACAAAGGTAGAAGGAATAAAGGAAATTTTTTAAAAATCACTATGAGAACATCTTTATTCTGGTATTCGAAGTGGAAAGATCCACTTATGGAAGCTTAAAGTAGCAGGCAAAGTTTGAATTAGCAATTCAGTGTGAATTACAATCTCAAAGAATCTCTAATAAAATATTAATTACAAAGGGAAAATCAGTAACTTTATTGTAGATACACCTGGCAGACATGATCTTAGCCATCATGTAGTGCAATGGGCACATCACATCTGGATACTGTTCCTCAGACTAACATAAACACGTTAGAAAAACCTAAATTGAGAAACATACTACAGAACATATTCACAGTTTTCTTCCAAAGTGTCAAGGTCACGAAATACTAGAAAAGACTTAGGAACTTCTACAGATTGGACGTAACTACAGAGAATGATGGCAATTGTATGCAATGTGGGAACCTGGACTGCATTCTGAAATAGAAAAAGGACTTTAGTAGAAAAACTTGTGAAATTGGAATAAACTTGTTTAATAATAATACACAACGTTACTTTCTTAGTTTGACTATTATGCTACACTAATATATAAAATGTTAACAATGCCTAAAATTATTTCTAAAGAATGTTTAAAAAAAGTAACACCTCTACTTTGTATATGATTATACAAGTAATCCAAACTGAATCAAAGACCTAAGTGTAAAAATTAAAACTATAAAAATCTTAGAACAAAACATAGGAATGTCTTTATTATCACAGATAAGGCAATGGTTTCTTAGGTCTGACACAAGAGCAAAACAACAAAACAAATAAATTGAATTTCATCAAAATTTAAAACTTATGTGCTTTGAGGACTAATAAAAAAAAGTAAAGACAACCTATGAGAATGGGAGAAAATACCTGCAAATCATATATCTAATAAAGATCTAGTATACTGTACAATTCTACAATAAGATGGCAAATAACCTAATTTTTAAATGGGCAAAGGATCTGAGTAGACATTTCTCCAAAAAAGATACACAAATGGCAAATGAGCACATGAAAAGAGACTGAACCTTAGTCATTAAGGACATGAAACTAAAGTAAGATACCCCCTCTTTACCACTAAGATAGCTATAATTAAGAGGATACAGAAGAATAAGTATTAGCAAGGATGTAGAGATATTAGAATCCCCATACATGTTGATGGAAATTTGAAGATGCAGCCATACTGGGGAATCAGTGTAGTAGTTTCTCAAGAACTTAAACATATAAAGCAGCAATATCACTGTTAGCTATATAGTCAATAGAAGTGAATACATGCATACAAAAATTTGTACAAGAATGTTCACCACAACATTATTCTTAATAGTCAAAAAAGTAGAAACAATCCCAATTTCCATCAAACAATAAACAAAGTTTTCTATATTCATATAATGATACATAACTTAGTTACAAAAAGAAATGAAGTATTGATACATATTACAACATGGATGAACCCTGAAAACATACTAATTGGAAGAAGTAAGACCTAAAAGGTCACATGTTAGATGAAGTCTATTCATATGAAATGTGCAAAGGAGAAAAATCCAAAGAGACAGTAGATAATGAACAATCCAAAGAAAGTAGATTAATGACTGGCAAAAGCTGGGGGTGGGTGGGTAGGAAGAGAAATGGCATAGGGTTCTTTTTGAGGTGATGAGAATAATCTAGAATTAGATAGTAGTCCACAAAATCCTAAAACCTAAGTTACATACTTTAAAAGAGTAAATTTATGACATGTGAATATCTGAAGAAAAAAAGAACTACAAGCACAACCTAATCAAGTCAAATCTTTAAAAGGCATGAAATAAAAATGACAGTCTTTCTATTTACTTTGAAATCTCCTTCCTCCAACATGACCATTATTAAACATTTATATATGTATCTTTCAAAGAAAAATGTATTTTGTTAACAGTAAGATTCTCACCTCTGCTTTTTTTACTTGATAGATGATCTTAACAGTTCAGTATATAATGTATTGACTAACCCTAAATATAAATGCTTTGAATTTAAGTTGTTTTGCTTCCATTGGGTTCTTTATTAAGAATTTCCCCCTCTCTTCCAAAATCAGTGATTTTTAACTTGGGGGCCATCGAATAGAAAGTCCATAAATGACCCCAAATAGTCCATGGGAGTCGATATACAAAATTTTGTATTTATAAACATTTTACGATGGAGAGTTCATATTTTTTAAAAGACCGACAATGTAAAAATGTTAGAACCTACTAAAGAAAACATATACCATAAAAAATAAATTCAAAATAAGTTTTTTAATGAGTCATATTTTTTAAATACTTCAACTAGCCTATGTATGCTGTTTAATTAGTCAAAAAAATTAATACACAACGTTCCAACCCATGAGAGCCCAAAAAAGATCTCCTTTAGTTGAAAAATTGCAGTCAGGGGTCTCTCTGGTGGCACAAGGGTTAGTTAAGTCTCAGCACCAAGAAGCTATCCGCAGCCACTGCAGAGTGAGCTCCATCCCAGGCCAGGGAGGTGACCTGCATGGTGCAACAGAACTTCCTCACCCAATACTCCCCTCAGCAGTGTATTTTCAGTCATTCTGCCTGTTCTGCTCCCCACTCTGTCACTGGTAAATCCTCTCTCTCTCTCTCTCTCTCTCTCTCTCTCTCTCTCTCTCTCTCT